GTCCAACGATATCGCTCATCTGTCATCACTAAATGATTATCATAAGGCATATGTTTATATGAGCCATAATGAGCCGATATATCACATTGTTTACAAAACCGTTACCATGTAATAATGTGAGACACTATCGTGAAACGTTATCTGAGGTCAACTTATCAGATGAAATTTTCGGACCTGACATTTCACTAATGATGTGTTCATCAATATGCGGATGTGTTGAATCCCAGAGGTTTTGAGGATTAGATGGGGATTAGCAGAAGAAAAGGCAATATCTGCAGTCACTTCCAGTGGTCTGTCCTGTTCTGTTAGCACTGTTACTCTTCAGGATGTCATACCAAGTTCTCTACTCGATGCAAACACTAAATATCTTTTGAATCCTTGCGGTGACTTCCATATTGGAGGACCACAATGTGACGCTGGATTAACAGGTCGAAAAGTTATTGTGGACACATATGGCGGTTGGGGAGCACATGGTGGAGGAGCGTTCTCAGGCAAAGACGCCACAAAAGTTTGTTCGGAAGCTCATTTATTCCACTAGGAAGGAACCTGTCGAAGTAGGATTTTGGAATGATCAGCCAGCACAGAAGGAGATTGATCCTATTCATGTTCGAAGCAAGTCCACTCATGTCAAATTTGTTCAGGTCGATCGAAGTGGTGCCTACGGTGCTAGATGGGTAGCGAAATCGCTAGTGGCCGCAAAAATTTGTAGACGAGTTCTCATTCAGGTATGACAAGCACTAATTGCAAACTATAATTGACGATGAGATGCCGACGGAGTAGGCTGGTCATTCCGGCGATCTTTTACAGATTTACAGTTGAATTAAAGGAAGGCGGAGTTCCACATCTTTATGACAAAATATGTGTAATAAACAATTGTAAGAATGGATTGTTCGTTTCCTTATTTCTACTTATGGCACTGACTCGGTTTTGAAGCTATCGATGAAACTGTTGGAAATTCGTTTACCAGGTTGTATCGACTACTGGAAATTTTATTAAGAAATTGTAAATTAAATGAATTCATGACACTGGAAAGGAATTTATGATTTAAATGAAAATTATAAAATATCTTCCCTCGAATGATGAAATGCGATCGATTTGAGAATAAGCACATGTTCATGCTCTCAGGTTTCCTATGCGATCGGAATCGCGGAACCTCTGTCCGTAACGGTAATGTCATACGGAACAACACCGCTAAACCAGAAGGAATTGCTAACAGTAATACGCGATAATTTCGACTTGCGTCCAGGAGTGCTTATTCGGTTGGTGGCCACAAGTTTGTGAAGTTTCGATCCTTAATCATTTATCCGACGCAAGTGCTCTCATCTTTGATTACGCATCATTGAGAAGTGTTCGATGACAACACCGAGATGATTTTCATCTTCATAGTGCACATTTCAGGGAACTTGGTTTAAAACAACCGATCTTCGAAGCCACAGCAAGAAATGGCCATTTCGGACACTCGGAATTTCCATGGGAACAACCAAAAAGACTGGTGATCCGACCGGAACTACAACAAAAACTCGCAGCGTTCAAAAGAAGAGATGAGAACTGAACGAAGCATGACAATTGATTTTGTTACATCAGAGTGTTTGGTCGGATATGTGTACACAGTTTTTTTTTTTGCATAAGAGCTGTTTTTCAGTGCGTAAATAGCATCATTATGCGCTGGAAACAGCAGTTTTCAGATGCACTTCCATTTTTTCATACATTTTGCAATGGATTTCACTATTGCATCGAGTGAAAATCGAGTGAAAATGCCTTATCTTATTGCTT